GAAAATTTTATGTGCACACTTAATAAATTTTTTAAAAATTCATAAAAAACTCGTGCACATGTGCATCTTGTGCATGCTAATTTTAAACACTGACAAGAATCACGGAATAATCGGAGAATTCATTCCATATTCAATAGAATAAAAACTTATATCGATACGATTTTTGGCTGTTTCGTCTTTTTTAAGCTCAAGGTTTATTAAAGTGAAAAATCAAATTCGCAGAGTATATTGATTATATTACCGTACCCGCAAATCATAATATTTATCGAATATTATTTTTCTATACAAAAGCATATGAACAATACATCGTTAATATTAATGGTGTTGATAATAAACATGAAAATGAAATTGCCCTCGGAGTTGCCTATTTTAATTTAGGTCTCTATGATGATTCTCTTGCACAATTTGACTGTATTTTGGAAAATTCTCCAAGTAATTTAACTGCATTAGTCTTTCGTGGAAGAACTTATTTAAAACTAGGAATATTTGGTAATGCGCTTTCAGATTCAAACACGATATTAAAAATTGTTCCAACAAATATGGAAGCATTCGTTCTCCGTGGAGAAACCTATTTTAAATTAGGTCAATATAATAAGGCTCTTGTAGATTTCCGTAAAGCACTCGAGATTAATCCGAATGATTTGTATGCTTTGGTTCTTTGTGGACAAGTTTATCTGAAAATTCAAAATATTAGCGAAGATTTCCTAGATTTTAACAAAGCATTAGAAATCAAACAGAATAATACAAATATATTATTGCATACTAAGGAAACTAGAAGAGTGATAAAAACGCTGTTGTTTCATGGAGAGAAATACTATTCATTAGAGCAATACGATAGGGCTCTATCAAATTTTTGTAAGGTGCTAGAAATTGATTCATACTATTCATTAGAGCAATACTATAGGGCTCTATTAAATTTTTGTAAGATGCTAGAAATTGATCCATATAATTCAATCGCATTATCTTTTTGTGGCATGATTTATTACTTTTTAGAACAATATTATAAAGCGTTCTTAAATTTCAATAAAGCATTACGCGTTAATTCATTTGATATTACTGCATTATTTTATCGGGGCAAAGCTTATTTTGAACTTGGCCATTATAAAGAAGCTTTTATGGATCTTAAAAAAGTATTAGAACAGTATAATGGCTCTGAAAACTTATTAGAAATTCAATCAAATCACGTTGATGCACTGATTCTTCAGGCAAAAATATGGTTTAATTTAGAAGAGTACGAAAATGCAATAATAAATTTGAGCGAGGCCTTAAAATTTCAACCAAAAAGCTCAATTATATTAACTCTTCGTGGAAGTGTGTATTTTTACCTAGTTCAATATAACAAATCTCTTAAAGATTTAAATGTAATTTTAAAAATGGATCAGAATAAGGCTACTACAATTTTTCTGCGAGGAGAATCCTACTTCCATCTTGGTTGCTACCATAAAGCATTTTTTGATTTTAATAAGGCATTAAATATTGAACCAAATAATGTGGACATGCTAATTCTTCGTGGAGAAGCTTACTTAAGATTAAAATATTACTATAAAGCACTCTAAAATTTCGAAAAAATATTAGAAATTGAACCAAACAATGAGATAGCGTTAGGTCTTCTGGGTAAATGTTATTTAAAATTGGGATTACTTGAAGATGCATTATCGTATTTATGTAAAGCATTAGACATCGAACCAAAGAACTCAGTAGCATTATTTTATCGTGGAAAAGTCCATCTTAAATTAGAAGAATACGATAAGGCTCTTTCTGATTTAAATGAAGCATTAAATATCGAACCAGTTTAGTAGCCACTTTAATTCTTTGTGGAAAAGCTTATTATGGTTTAAGAAAATATAATCAAGCTTTTGAAGAATTTAGCAAAGCAATAGAATTTGAACCGAATAATTCGACTGCACTGCGATATCTTATAAATGCTTATAATGAGCTTGACTTTAAAGCAATGAAAAATGCTGTAATAAACAACTCAGAAATAATTAAACTTAATAATGTAATTTCAAATATACTTTGTGGAGAGGGTCATTTTATACGCGGACAATTTGAATGTGCACGAAAAATGTTTAAAAAGGTATTGGAAATTCAGCCAGATAACACAATTGCACTAATTTTTTATGGAAAAATCTATATTATTCAAGAAAAACATGAAAATGCCCTTACATGTTTGAATAAAGCATTAAAAAATGAACCAAACAATTCAATTGCATTATTTTATCAAAGAGAGGCCAATTATAAGCTAAATCGACACGAAAAATATCATTTTAATAAAACATTGGAAATTGATCCGAATAACGTAGAAGCGCTTTGACTTCGTGGATATTTTTATGAAATATTAGGCAGGAATGAAGAATCACTTGCCGATTTTAATAATGCAACGAGTTGTTGGTCAAATTGGGTTATACTCGAAAACTGTGATCATATATAAAAGTTTGAGTTATTATAAAAAGTCACATTCGAAACCGTTTAAATTCTTGGAAATTGAATCATATAAAATTATTGCATCTGAAATTTATAGAGTTTTCCATACTCAGTTGGGTGATTTTGAAAGAATGATTGTAGAGTTTAGTAGAAATTTGGAAATTGAATTAAATAGAATGATGATTAACCCTGCGAATTACGAAATTCCAGCTTTTCAATTGGATGATTTAGAAAAATTGCTTATGAATTTGAATAAAGGTTTATTAAACTAGCTTACTTACATAATTAAACTATTTTTGCTAATCAGCAAGAATTTTGATTAGCTAAAA